TTTTTCGAACATTGGCTGATTTTTCTTACTTTATTGCTTAATTTCACATCTACTTATTAGAATTATTAACGATCTTGCTGTGCTAGCCCCTACAGAGTATTAAATTGTCAAGTACCAAAAATTGATATTTCATAGCAAGTAAAGTCCTTTCTTTACGCGAATAATCATAGTTTTGACAGATAGTTCGCATATTTGAAACACCATTAGAATTGTGAGAACGATATTATACCTGGATAGTAAAATAAATAAGATAATTCATCGAGAAAACTGTTCTCCACTCAGGTGCATACGTTGGAAATCATATATTTTGGATGACAATGAATGAAGCCGAAATAATATCCATTTAAGCACATTAAGCCTTGACTGTCACGCCGAAATCACGTTTCTCTCCGACGCCATGGAAGTATTTTTATTATTCAAAGCACATAATAGCTAAATAATAATAAATGGGTGATATAAGACAACATTCTTACCCAATGGAGGGCTCAACTTATTAGCGGTCACGGATGACCCCTTGGTAACGGTTGACAGTCGACTAACTGTCAATTTTCATTCAATTTTTACAATTGCAAATATTTCAAGCGCTTCGGTCACTCAATGATCATCGTGACGCTTTGGTAACGGTTGACAGTCAACTAACTGTCAACTTTCATTCGATTTTTACAATTGTAAATAGTTCAAACACTCCGGTCACCAATGACTATTATGGCGTCACAGAAGAGACCGTGGCCGGTCATATATGACCAACGTGGCAGTCAAAGTATTAATGACATCCAATAATCCTAAGTCAAAAATTCCTTATCTCTCCACAACATGCATGTACATGCAACAACATTTATTCGGATGTGTAAATAATTGACCGAAGCTCTTGCAACGCGTTACCAACAACTTGACAGGTCTTGCGAGGCTTTCGCTCTTGTTTTATACGGTACACACCCGGTGTTGGGTTCGCATGAACGCGGGAACCAGGCCGAAAATTCATTCGTCATGTCGTATCAGAGCTGGAATAACACGATGGGCGCGGTGCTTATCGAAGCTATTCATACTAAATATTTTTATCTGTGCTCCGCCGGCACTTGACAACAATCAGCGTACAATGTTGCTTTATCACTCGACAAATTTTTCATCGAAGTTGCAACAGAAATGTCGCATATTGTTTATGTCGTGCTCCGTTCGTCTATGCTAGAAACGCAGTTTGACAGGGAATTTGCTACATCCCAAATCACATTTTTGGACTTTTATTTAAAAATTTTATTTCAGACTTCCTCGCTTCGATCACTCGATTTTGCAATTTTTCTGTTAATACAGGACGTCTTCTCACATTATTTCATGCATACTTAAAGAAAGTCTATAATTGTTTTTAATAACAAAATACTTTTTATACTATAATTACTAAATTATGTATTCTAAATTATTATGTATTATGTAAAGCTACGCTTTTAATGCTAAAATTAATAATTTTGGTGGCCATGTTGATCATCTGTGACGATAATTGTTTTTCAGTGGAACTTTAGTTGTTGGCAATAATTACATACCCTCATTGTTTAGAATATTAAATAAAATGAATATCGTGGATTGAAAAATTTTAAATAATATAGGTACATAACAAATATTATGAAATAAAACGGGCATTATTCAAAGATTAAGGATTTGTAATTAAATTCTATCATGCATTTCTGGTAGCATGAAGCATCATAATATTAAACTTGCGTGATAGTCAACGTGTTATGTGACAAAGGATTAAATGTGGCGTAAATGCTGTCAAATACCTGTGTTCCCATTTCAAAGTTCCATTCACTTTTCTTGAGACAAATTGAGAAACTTTTTAGTAAAAGATGGCTTCATCTCCCGATTATCTCATTTTCATATTCTATCCTTTATTATAGTTTTATTTCATTGTATATTAAAGATGAAGATTGCACAAATTTGTTATCAGCATTGCTGTTTTCCAAACGAAAGGTTGTTTCAACTTTGGATATTTCCAAACCCGATTTTGGCACGTTTCTTCTTCCAAAAGTCTTCTCAATCTCTGTCATCGAATTTATCATTGACACCAGTTAGCTTTTCTCAGCATCTCAACAGTTTTATATCATCCAACACACATTGTACCTCGTCTTGTCCTATAATTAACCTAGTCTAACTATATTTATCTAATATATCTAATGTTTCATACATTTTGTACAAAGATATTCTATGACTGCCACACTTCGACTGCCACGCACTTGACGGCCACGATAAATTTCCATTATTCTCAGAATATAATGCTGAATTATCAACCAAAAATGGTACAAATTATTAATGTCTTCTGTTCAAAGTTCTCTATTTATTTAAGTTCTCAAAATATTCAAAAATTGGTTAGAATAAAACAAATATAAATTTAAAAAATTAGTATCGCCGGACACTGGTGACCACTATGGCCCCACTGAGGAGGCAAGCGCAGATCACTGATGACCACCGTTGCAGTCAACGTGTTGAGAAATCGTTTACAGAATTCTCGTTACATGACACTACCAAGTGTACGGAAAAGTACGAGACACACTGTATAATAAATTCCTGTTTGAATCTCTTCGTTCGTTTCTTCGTCTACCTGTCGTATAACCGATCATAATTCAGAGCGAAAACGATACGTTAGACGTGCAAAAATTGGCAAAAATGCACGAAACACGTCACTCGATTCGAAGGCACGAATCGTGGAAATTTATCGGGCAAAATAAATATCGGAGTCTCGATAAAAGCCGTTGCCGAAGTCGATGGTCGACTGCGTCGCGTCGGGGTCTCGTTGGCAGAGTTCTGCCCGAGACCCGCGTCCGTCGTGAGACGAATTCGACAATGAGAAATCGAAACAAAGCAACGCAGACGCATTAACCTTGCTTCGCGTGTCGTACGTGCAAATTTGCTATGTCAAGCGATACGAGATTTTGCAAAAAGATGCGCGATAACGCGAACGACGCAGTGCACGATTTAAGAGCTGGAAGGCGTCGAGTATCCGCCGTACTTTCGAATGGTATACCGATAATATCGCAAATAACGAAATCACACGAATTGACAAGCCCGCTACAAGCGATTATCGCCGATATAACGAAGGGGAAAAGCAATGTTCTCTTCGTATCTCTCTTCGTATCGAAACACGCGAAATAAGGCAATTATGATCCCCGCAAATACATTTTCAAATGTCTAGCAGTAATCCGGTTGATGATGTATAGTCACTCGCGAAAGGGTATCAATTTATCCTAAAAATTTCCAATAAATGAAACACGCATTTTACTCGAATTTTTAAGATATCGCTAAAATATTTCTGTCAAAATATTATAAATGATATTATAAATTATATTATAAATAATATAATTGAATATTTCTGTTATAATATTTCTATTGAAATACTATCGAACTCAAATTCTTCAGAAGTCTTCAGAAATTTCTAATTTTACACAAGTTTTCTAATTTAATTTTATTTCTTTTAAATGTCTTGGGCATGCATGGGTAAAATTATGAAAAAGATTCGACGATAAATAGGGAATTCGAAGAATTTCAAAAGCGAATGCATCTTTCTATCCTAATTCTTCAAACGTCGACTAATTTGATCTAATTTTTCTAAAAATCTTGGAAACGTGTGAGTAAAATTATTAAAAAGAATATTCGATTTGAACCCGTCTATTTCATTCATTAAAAATTCAAGATTCACAAGGTTTGAACTGTTTAAATCACTGTGTATGTACGTCATTTGAATTTACATGCGTGCTAGGGTTACACAGAGTGGGGGTACCAAAGCGTTTAAAAATGGGGTAAACGATATTTTCAAAAATAATAAATTGCACTTAGATTATCCCGAGACGATGTTAAAAAAGGATGGTAATTTTAGATTGGTGGGTACAGTCGTTGTTCACATAGATGAATTGTTCACTTCCGTTAATGATGTTTTAAAGGATGTTTGCACGAGTTTGGAGAACTTTAGAAATTTACAAAATAGCGTACGAGTTAATCGAGGTAATTCGTGTCAAGAAGACTATGGAAATATTTGTTTATAAATGGGATAGTGACCTCGTGTAAACATTGCTAGTTTCCGCGAATTGATAAGCAAAGTTCAATTGCAGATGCGTAGTACAATTGCCCTCCTGTGTACTACGTAATTCGAAAACAATCGTAATTTGTTCAAAAGTGTGCTTAAATCGGTAAACATGTCAATAATTATGCGAATAATTAATAAATAATTGATCTTCATATTACAATACACTCGTGACTAAAGTACTACAATTTTCTAGCAACAAACTATGACAGCTTTATATCCAAACATTGCTCAAAAATGAAAATACTGTCAATTTACTGCAAATATCATTTTCAGAGATGATTTAACGCAAACCTTACCTTATATGAAATTAAAATAGACAATACAAACAGTCCTGTATAACATAGTTTCTTGTCAACTAATAAACTTTCACCATAGAAGCTACACTTTCAGATAAATATTCACATTAATAAAATTAGGCTACTCTAACTAGCATCCACTATACCTCCAACGACAATATGGACAAACAATCATGGAGAAACACAAATGATTTACCTAAAATCTGTCAACACCTAGTCTCGCTGCAAAATACCTATACCAACTCCAATTATCCTCACACGTAGACATCTACATACCCTTCATGATCCTCGTTATCTCTCAATTCGACACAGACAAACATCCATTCACCTAACCTTCTCCCCTCCAAACTGTAACCCCAAAAATCGGCACCATGAAAACGCTAATTTTCTCCAACGAAACCCTCTCTTCTCTTCATCAATCCTCATCATCTTTCCATTCAACATAGACAAACATCCACCTAACCCTCTCCTCTCCGAATCGAGAACGTTAAACTGAAAACTCCACAGGATGGAACCGTCCATTTCCCTCGACAATGAATTTCCTTCATGGAAAGCCTAGATTCCGAGACCTCGGAACTCGTGGTTCGACGGGAGAAGAATCGGATCCTGAGACCCTCTCGATATTGTGACCGACTCACGTTTCAGCTTCTCCAGGGGTTCGTGCAACGGATGGCTAGAGTCGTGCAGCATGGGCGCGTCGTGGTGCGAGTTGCCGTGAAGGTCGTGATGGTGCATCGTTCCCTGAAGATGGTCGCCGTGAAGCCCGGCCATGGACGCCGCGGCGGCAGGGTGCTGGTGATGTTGGACCGACGACAATCCGGTCGTCGATCCCGTCACGAGATCCTGAAGACACAGATCCGTGTTCCCGCCGCCGCCTCCTCCGCCTCCAGCAAGCTCGAGGCTCCCCCCGCCCCCGCTGCCCCGCTCCATACTATAGAAGGTTAACGTCGTGTTGACTGATCTGAACAACGCAACGCAAAATCGAGCGAGTCCTCGCGAGGCCGTCTGTCGCGCGAAATCACGTCGTGTCTGACGCCAAGTCCGACCAGGTCTTAGGAACGTATCCGTCAAGTCAGCGAGCTGGGTACACCTCGATCGTCGCTTTTATTGGCGACGGCCGTCGGATGGAGGCATCCGTTACCACCAGCGATCCCACCATCCGCATCAGAGCTCCGACCAGCGTGGAATTCGCCGATTTATGCTTCCCGTTGACGACTCGAACTGTTGTTGCACACAGGACGGTTTTAACCCGTTTCTGGTAGGTCAGTTTACACGAGCGTATATGGTCACCGGTCTCCGACTGGCCAACTGACTGGCAATCTGCGCGTGAACCACGAGACCAAGTAGCAGGAGTCCAAGTTGCCTGGTAAAGAAGATACGGTCCTTTGTCTCTGATCGTTTATCTCTAACTCGGACACCCTCGTCCAACCACGATCGTTCTTAGCAGAGGTGCTCGTGATCCCGCGGAACTGACTCTCACGATAAATCCCGTCACTGCACTGTTTCCAGCCGCGTGTTCGAACCGGTCACAAAGAACTTACGTGCATATGCGTGCGATACATCCATGCATCTCGAATTCACCACTGCGTACCGCCACACCGGACAGCAACACCCCCGGACATGTTTCGCGATACTGGTCACTGGACTCGCGATCGGAACGACACCAGAGGATTCGTAACCACGCGATTCACCAGCTCACGACGAAGGTGTCACCGGGTCGGTAACAAAGTCACCCGCGCCGCGACATCACCACGATCGGCGACCGGAACGTCGGAGTTGAACGTGGCGCGCGAGCTACGCTCTCGTCTTCCTGGCTCGCTCTTCTCACCTTAACGGGCACGCGTTAAGGAACGACAGACCGACAGCGCGAGAGAAAGAGAGAGAGGGACAGACAGAAGCGTAAGAAAGCGCGAGTGGTGCTGCAGGTCGCGGTAGTATAGCCGGTTTTCGTAGTAGATGGAACGTGTAGTGGCCGCGCGTCGGTAGTAGGTGGGTCCGCCAGGCTTAGCCGGTTGAGCCTTTCGGACTGCCTGCCGGCTTAAGTCTCTAAGTCGGTAAGCCGAGCGGATCTAGTGGTCTTGGCTGGTGCACTGGCTGCCTGCTAGCCTGTCTGCCTTCCTTGCTTGCCGGGCGGCTTGCCTGACTGTCTGACTGCGCCTCGCCCTGGCTCGCTTGCTCTTACTCCCCTCCACCGGTTCCTTCTCTCTTCAGCTCTCCCACTCTGCTTTTGTTATCTCCCTCGAAACCCCTCTCTCTCGCGCTCCTACGATCTCTCTTGTCTCCTTGCCTCGTTTCATCCCTTGGCAACCCTGCTCTCTGTCCTTCTTCCTCGCGCTATCACTCCCCACTTTGGTCCCCGCGTTTTCGTTCTCTCTCGCTTCCTCTTCGCTACTCCACGCTATCTCCCTCGGCATTTTCAGTCTCCCTCTCTCTCTCTCTCTCTCCAGCCTCGTTACACGATCTCTCACGCCTGTATCTGTCACCTCGTCCCCGACACCCCTCGTTTGGACCACCCTTCGTCTTTCACTCTCTCTCTCTCTCTCTCTCTCTTCTCGGTACCCCTACCCTGGTATCTTTGCTTGGTCCGTCTCGTTCCCTCGCTGTCGCGATCTCTCACGCCTGTGTGTCTCTTTTCCGACCCGTCGTGTTCGAAACAGTCACCGGTTCGCCTATGTTCGGTATCGTCGACGCACCTCTCTTCATCTACCCCCACTGGCTGCTGCCATCCCCTCCATCGCACACCGTGTCGCCCCTCCTACACCGATCTCGGCTCTCCCTCGATCGAGCACGCACACCACGCACCCCTGTTCTACCCTCTTTTGCTCCTTTCCTAGCTCTACGAGCCCCGCGTACCTTCTGATTATCATTTGTTCCTTTTCGCTGACGTTTGTCGCCTTGGATCGTCATGCTTCGCTTTAATCCCTAACGACACGCTCGCCGGTTAGAATTCTGGCTGATTTCCTTCCTCCTCTAAGACACGCGGACATGGTTCATGTTCTCAGAGTGGTTTCCGGATTTTCCAGATGAAGTGAAAGAGCAACCGGATCGACGCGTTCGTCTGGCGGTTAGGTTTGATTCGCCGCTTCCGCCATCTTTGCCTCGGCGTGATGTAAAATTCTGATATAACGTGGAAAATCTTCGCCGAGATACCGTGATTCGAGTCGAGCGCATGCAGTTATCGCTTGTCTTATCTGTCGAAGCAAATACCTATCTTCATAGACTTAGACTGCCTCTGTGCTGGGCGTTTCGAGTGACACTGAGAGGTGTGTCATATGCCTGCAAATTCGATACAAATGACTGGTCTGTATAAAAACAGCGTAAAAGCACACAATTCTAAGTTGCTGAGTGGGCTATTTCGTTTTATTTAATCCCTCGAGCGTTCCCTTAACCTACCCGCTGCCCACAACTCGGGTAAATATGCAATTCTGAATAAGAAATGAAGAAGAAGTAAAACCGCGATGTTGGTTGTTATTAAATGTGACGAAAGTTGTTATTAAATCCGTTGGAAATTGAAATTTGAAAAATTCCATGTCCATGACAGCCATAGACTGTTCAAGGTGCGTGCGTTGAGCTAGTCAGTGAGTGTCAGGGTGGACCCTTGACACTTTGACTGCCAAGGTACGATAAAATTTCTATTATTCTTAGGACATTGCGGTGAATTATCAAACGTCATGGCAAAGAAAAAAAGATGGTGGAAATTATTATTATTTTCTATTCAGATTTCTTTATTTATTGACGTTGTTCAAATTTTTTAAAAAGTATCGCCTGTCACCGATGACCACCATAGCTGTCAACGTGTTAAGAAGTTAATTCTTCGCGAAAGTTTCTTCCTTTCTGGTTTTACTCGTACTGCGTCGTATTAAGAAAGCTCGAATTCTAATTTGATAATTGGGAAAGTTGGTAAGCATCGGGATAATATCGATTATCGCGTTAACCTTTTAGTTTGGTGCTGCTTGGATGATTATCTTTTTTCAAATGCTTTCGTATGATCGAAAACTGTAATCATCGCTTTTACAATAGTCTAGAGTCTAATCAGATTACAAAAAATTCCAGGAGCGAAACATAGCGTTCAATTCGGCCATTTCCAAGCAGTACTTTATCTACGTTCAGCCTTATCATACTTCGGCGACGCCGAGTGACCATGCTACCTAACTTACTCGTAAAAATAACTTAAGCCTCGATCGAGAAGCGTAGAATTAATTAGTCACGTACGTCGCTGAACTAATTAATAAGGATAGTAATCGGTGAACAGTAATATAAGGACGTAAAGAGGATTATTTCGTTGGGTAAATATATTGACACTTGCTAGATATATGTTTGTAATATTACAAAATTGACACTGAACATACCTAAATAATCATTTTCAAACTGTTAATTAACAATTTCGCATTTGACAGAACTGCGGGTTTTTATTTTATTTTTTCTTGCTATTAATACTTTGACGGAATTTTGTTTAATGTATTGACAGGTATATGACAGGTGGAAAATAATTTTTATTATTTCCTTTTATTTAGTTGGAAGGTAGGGATGAAGATCAATTTATCCAGATAGGAATAGAAGAATACGATATAACGCGACGTGTTAATATTATCGCATTGGTCGCCTGTCAACGTAATTTTTCTTCTGATATGCACGTGTACAGTTAATTTTGTAATATTTCCGCTCATTTCAGGCTTTTTAAAATTCTTTTTCTTCCATTTCTTGACTCACCGATCTTTTAACAGATTGTAACAGAGGTTTGGTGTTCGTTGCTTTCAATGGAATAACAAATTTAGCTCATCACGAGTGTATATGTAATCGACATTGGTACCTAAATATTCTCTACCCAGGTGTCGAAAAGATACCTGAATACTAGAGCTACATTTAGGATAAGTTCAGTAGATTTGCTATATTACTCGAGTACCCAGATTAGATTTGGAAAGTTTGCTGTACTCCCTGAGTATCCAGTTTAAGTTTAGATCAAATTCCGTAAGTTTGGAACATCCTCCGAGTACTTGGATTAGATTTGGTATGTATTGGTACGTCTGTGTTAGGTACGGTACCTCACCCGAGTACTCGGATTAGATTTAGCAGGTTTGGATTAGGTCCGGTACATTGCCCAAACACCCGAGTTAGTTTTGACATAGGTTTGGTAGATTTGGCAGTGCTCGGATTAAATTTGGAAATTTAGAGCAGTCAGGTTAAGTTTACTAGATTTGCTATATTACCCGAGTACCCAGATTAAATTTGGAAAATTTGCTATACTTCCCGAGTATCCAGTTTAACTTTAAATCAAATTCTGTAAGTTTGGAACATGGTCCGAGTACTTCAATTAGATTTGGTACGTGCGCGTTAGGTTCAGTACTTCACCGAAGTACTCGGATTAGACTTATCAGGTTTGGATTAGGTCCGGTACATTACCCAAGCACCCGAGTTAGTTTTGACATGGGTTTGGTAAATTTGGCAGTGTTCGGATTAAATTTGGAACGGTTAAATCAAGTTTACTACATCACTGTCATACCCAGAGTAGATTCTGGTAAGTTTGGCATATCAACACTCGAATAAAATTCAGCTGACAATGAGTGTCAATGTTTTTGACAATATATGGCTCAGTGTGTACCCGGGAAGCATTTTTCCAAGCGAATATCTCGCATCGCGTATTACACCCGACTATTTCCGGTCTTCCGGGTCTGCTGCGACTACTGGTGTACAGATCGGGACGGGTAATAACATCGGTAATCGGGAGTGCGTGCGCAATCGTGGTTCGTCGAGTGGCGATCGACGGGAAGAATCCCGTCGGAGGATCGCGAAGGAGAAAGATAAACGCGGCGAATGACAAAGCGGATGATTCTCGGCGGTCGGGAAAAGGGAGAAAGTCCGGGAGACGAGGTTCGAAGTGGAGCGTGTGGATCCGGCAGGAGGAAGACGCGGCGCGCGGAAAACGAAGAGGAGCACGACGATACGAAAAGCGGGGAGGCTGTAGCGGCAGTACATACGTCAAGGTACGAACAGACC